ATTATCGATTCTCCGGCACCTCTGTTTTGAGATGATCATAATTCAGGTTCTCAGTCAGCAAATCTTTTGTCGGCAAATATTTCTTCTGCTAGGGGGTGACGACTAGATGAGTAACATGCAAAAGCGTGGAAGCATATACTTGTGAAAACCGATTGTGTGCAAGCCCACTCATGTGAATCCGTCAAGGATGAGGAAATCATCAACAAAATCACTAACTGTGAATCAGGCTTTAGAGGCAGGTTTTCAAGCAAAAAGTCCCATTATGGAGCAACATAACATTGAGCCATTAAACACATGAAAGCATGTTGCAACCATACTGTATGTTACACTCATGAGCACTTAATGGAGAAAATATCATGTAAGACTAGTACAGCCACATAGATTACTGATATAAATATTCTTATTATCGGTGCATACAGTACAAGGGGGGTGATTACCCCCTCCCCTAAAAAAAATCCTGAAAGTCTTTGAATGGTGGCTGAATAACTACATGTGTAACAAAGCTGTAAAAATAATTTGACTATTTTTACATCTATTGGAAAGTTATAAATTGGTAGGATAATAATTATACATTAAGCAAATTTGCAAGAAATGTACATATAAGTTTAACCCATTGAGTCACAGTGTGCCCTAATAAGGCCTAAAGTGCCGTACTTTATTATTTTACTCTGTCTAACACCACTTGACTTTACTTGTGAAGGGGAGAGTGCTGGCTCTCGATAGGTTAAAGAATTGTGATTTCTGGCAACTGAGTGGTAATATGGTAGTCACCCACATCCTCCCTCATTGTCTTGTATAGCTGTTACTCAAAGAACCATGTAGACATTGGCCATGCAAGCAAATGATAATGATAGCTAGTTCACTCAATTACTGTTGTCATAATACACACCCAAATACCATATTCTGTGCTACAATACTTTGTCTACTGTAGTTCTTGGATAATTTTACTCATTATTGGAAAGACCTTGCACACTAATGGGTTAATTTAACATAGATTTCTTTAACTATGTTGTATAAAAAGTGAAGTGACATTATGCAACTTAGCGTAAAGGCATTGGTGCCAAAAGTTATAGTTTCGGCGCCTATTTGAAGGACATAAAATTTAGCAATTTTTCTGATATTTGGACCATTAATAAAACACATAACAAATTTCTCGTCCATCGACTCAAAATGTGTTTTAACCTTTTAAATTTCATGTGCAAGCTATTTTAATGCTGCTAAAAAAAGCCCCCCCCCCCCGCTTTGGAAAATTTATCTTTACCAAAATTTCTTGTTTATTCTAAATTATAAGAAACCAAGCAATTTATGTTTATCAAATATTTAATGACGTGAACGGATTGGTGAAATTGAGAGCCGTTTGAAATTGTTTACTTTTTTCTGATACACCTGTTCAGAATGGAGCGTTCACTTGGCTTAAAATTGCCTTTGCAAAGTGCTTGTCTGATACTGCCATGTCAGTTTTTGAAAATATGATCATACAGCAGCAGTTATTGAAGAAGCAATTCATAATGCGCATAATTACGAATTCACGTCGATGTTTACCTTAGCGACGGTAATTGGCTTACAATTCAATCATACTATCTAGACCCAACATGTTGATATATTTAATATCACTTTTGGTGGCACCAAAAGCAAATGATGGCCATGCGTCGCCGTCCATAAACCGAAATTTGAGGAGGAAATACGCTGCTCAGATTGCAGGAAATGGTGTTTCCGGGCTTCAAATTTCAAAAATTTTCCAGACCACCCTAGTTATGTGTGGTTTAGGAGCCACGGTCAGTTTTGGGGCTGGATCCGCCCCTGATTATGTAAGTTTTTGTTTGTATGAATATGATGCTAAAAGTCAAGTGGCTCTGTCTGCCTCTGTGGCTGACTATGCTTCACTTTTGTATGTGTACTCACCTGACCTGCATAGCTCAAACATTGTTTTATGCTTGCCATAGCATGCATTGTTTAACAAATTTAACTTTAAGTTATTCTCATTGGAAAGTTTATTGTAAATTTTCATTGGAAAGTTTATTTATAATCATTGAAAATCAAATGTTTTCCGCCGTGTTGATTTTGTTTGTCTCGTTTCCAGTCTCTACTCTCTTTTAGTCATTGATTTCAAAGCTAATTTGCATTCAAAGTAACTTGTACTGCTCCATGATCATGCAGAGTTGTATATAATACAGTATTACAGCTTTTCAGTTTTGTTGTACATGATATTTGCCTTGCATTCTTGCAAGAAGTAGTAAAAATGCCTAAAAGCGATTTTAAGGACATTTTAATACTAAGAACATTTTGACCTGCAAATATTATTCATATATTTATTTATTATACAATAAATATATTTATTATATGGCAAGCATTTGTTTTGATGAATTGCACAATTTGATTGGCTGCTGATGAGGCAGGATTTTCCCGTATAGCCCATGGGCAATATGTAATTTTTATTGCCCTGCGACGAGAGCCGAGTTTCAAACGGCAAAAAGTATCTAAAAGTCTTTCAAAAGTACCGTAAACTTCCGAATATAAGCCCTGGGCTTATATAATTTCATAAGCCTTTTTTGATGGGCTTATACATGGGGGGGGGGGGCGGACCACATCTTAGGTTAATAGTAAGAAAACACATACTATATTTACGGACCAAAACTGCACAAAAAATATATCTGTGACTCCTTGATGCAAAATCGGGACGAACTGTCAAGTGTTTTGTAATCCTTTATAACCTTTGTTTAAATAAATACATACCGTAGACGTAGTCTTAGTTGAAATTTAATGCAATGTAGTGGATTTTTTGTGTAATTTACTGGTATTATAGTGATGGGCTTATATACGGAATGGTGTGAACGTTAGTAATTTGATGGGCTTATAGACGGGGGGGGGGGCTTATATTTTGAAGTTTACGGTATTCAAAATGAAGAATAAACCTAAAATAAAAAGAGGAGCAACTGCTGTGTGGTTAAAGAACTTTCTCCATATGTTTTTGTTAGCGAAAGTCAAAATTACAAGGCAAATTTTACAATGTTTATAACTATAAAAGCAGTCAGGAACAGTTGTGTTTTGACAATGCGAAGAACTGCAAACATCATCCTAAATAAAAAATACAACTAAAACAGCCACAGATTTATAATTTTTCCCTGAAAATTTATGTTTTTGTTAGATAAAAAGATACGTTTTTAGTTCGCTTCATCTCATATTTATGTACTTGTTTTTGTAATTTTATTGAATTTTATTGTTTTCATATTTGTTGCCTTTGATTAAATGACGAAATACCTCGTATTTTTCTTGAAATACTATCCAAACTGTGTTAGTATTCTATATAAAAAGTACTGTAGAGCAGTTTTCATATTAACCAAAGAACATTTTTTACAATTGTTATTTTTTTTGCAAACTGTTTCAGACTTCGTACTTTGCCCTTGTGTGACCTTTTCGTCCATTTTTTACAAACGTACAATGCCATAAAATAAAAAACTTACTGACCTAGAGTGAGGGCAGTACGGGAAAATATCCAACCTCGGTCTTGCTGTATTGACCTCGCTATCGCTCGGTCAATACAGCAAGACCTCAGTTGGATATTTTCCCGTACTGCCCTCACTCTAGGTCAGTAAGTTATTAATATTATTCACTATTGTAGTATTTAGTAATTGGTAATAAATATTAATTACGTACATATATAATAGATTTTGTTATTGACTAGTTTCAACATTTCTATTGCTACAGTGAACCAATTTTTAAGTGGAGGTTCCCACACCCCCTAGCCATCTAGCTATCAAAGTTCACTGGATAGTTTCCTTCCCACCCTTGATCTAAAGGAACCAGGAGGTATGCCTTTTAACATAGAAGATTGGGCGGAAAAAGTTGCAACTAAAGTGGAAAAAAAGTTCCCAAAAAGAAGCGACTTCTGGAGCCACATATAATCCTGTTCTGAGTAAGTCCCTTAAAGCAGGTAATTTGTTTAAACTACTGGACGAGGTGCCTGATTTTGAGTTATTAGGGACTTTAAGCAAACAGGACAGCAACGCGATGACGATGACTATTCACACAATGATATTCGTGATCTCGTACAAAATGAATAATTAAAAGCCTCACGGGACTTAGAGACCTTGTCTTTACAACAGCAAACCAGAGATTTTCACGTCTCGTGTACAACGCAAACATGTCAAGACGGGACAAGTGAAACTACAAATTTGCTCAGCTGAAGCGTTTTTAACCATAAAGCCTTTGTTTTAATCTCTTGAAACTGAACTCAATTCATATATACATGCATGCAGTGAATACACAACTACTCTTCCTCGCAATAATTTATTTGAAGAAGTTTGTTTTGGCTGTCGTCACCGTCGTACATGCTTAAGGTCCCTATTTAATGGGGAGAACAGCCAGGTATTGCGGTGTAGTAGTTGTGCAGAGTTTTTATCTTCTCCTCGGGTTTCCGTTCTGTCCTCGTTTCGTTTACCATCTGGCAGAACAGATGGAAGTTTGGCAACCAGTCTACACTTGTCAGATGATGTATACCAACAACTGGTTACTGGTAATTGCGATAAATGGTACCATCAGAAACAAGGGTGCCTTCAACATTTTCTTCTAAACACACAACAACGCTTTGGGTTATATGAAGTTGTTAAAACAAGGGAGATTATTGTTGTTAAGAATCAACTTTGTGCAGCTATTGGAATTGTGAAAACCAAGTCAATACGAGGAACGAATTGCAGAGCTTCAAGCAGCTGGTGCAGATGCTGACGATTTTGGTCATTCCCGGAAAATGTTTCCGCACACAATTAAATTGGTGTGTGCATTGTCTACATTGCAATTAAAGCAGTGTGTGGATTGTCTACATGTCTACATTGACAGAAAAACAGCCAATTTCCTGTCCACCCCTCTTCCAAACATGGGGATGCCACCACACTTTTATTCACAGCAGACAAGTCCACCAACCATCGGATCACCAATCCGGTTATGATTATTTGTCCTGTGGTAGATGGTAGTCACAAAGGCATTGTCCTGGATGCTAGATAGGTATGTACCAACTCTGTGGGATTGGCGGTACAGGTGACACTTTAGCAGCTGCTAATTTCAAGGACCTGGAGGAGCATGTCGGTTTAAAAGACAATTGTCTTCTTCAATTTCAAGGAAGAGTAATGGATGGCCAATACATCAATGAACCGTTTATTGATGGCATGAACAGTATCATGCATCTGTTGGATGATAATCTCCCATGCAAAGAACGTTTCTGGTGGCCTGTACAATGGAATCCTGCACATTGGCTGGACAAAGTTTTCAGCACATTTAAGGATTCATGTTTTTTGTTGATCGTCTCCTGAAGAGAGTGGCACTTTACGACCAACTTTTCAGACACGGTAAAATGCATAGCGTAGCTTGTCACACGGCAAAGGATCTAAAGCTTCCATTTTATGTCACCAATGCATACAGTACTGCCAAGAAATAACTGCTCACGTCCTGCCTCCAGAGCGCCCGCATCTTGCATCCACTCTACTCGCGTCCTGCCCCCAGAGCGCCGGCGTCCAGCCTCCACGATGCTCGCGTCTTGCGTCTGCTCTGCCCGTGTCCTGCCTCCAAAGCGCCCGCGTCCAGCCTCTAGACAAAACTGCATCCGCTTGGACGCAGTTGTCGTAACATAATCGGAAAAACGAACTAATATTTGCATCATACTCGTAGTTTGTTGTGAGAATACAGATCGGTGTCACTGATCGGAGAAGTAAAGAATAAAAAGTTAAATCCGAAAACGAGTTTAATTGAACCTAAGCGTTTTTAGTATAACCAATTTTATAATGTTATACGTTATACTACAGTAAGCGTAGTGCTTTCACAATACAATCCCAAGTACTTGAATGGCTATTGAAGCGTATGTGACTGTATATTGGAGCGTAAAATAGACATAAACTATATATAAATATAATGTAGACACATAATATATACTAAACTCAGTGAGATCACGACTACAACAAGTATATATCTCGCAACACATTCATTTGCTACTCAAATTCTGACTTACCTCGTAGAAGATTGCCGATTAGTGATATAAAATTCTGTATTTGAATAATGCAATGTCTCCGTAACTTGTCAGTATATTAAAATGAAGATGCTCATTTACAATATATATAGTGGTTTTGATTTTTCATATATAATACCATTACTACGAGCCACTATATAACTTTATTTGCAGCAACATGTTTTTGTTGTTTTTCCAAAACAAAGTAAATGCACATGGTGGTATGTCATATAAATTGATAATTACCATATAATTTCTGGATAAATGACTTCTCTTAATCCCTTAATGGAATACCTTTACATGTCCAAGAAACAGTCTTTGTGTTTCAACACGGTTCAATGACTGTGACTCATCGCTTGATTTTCACAGTTGCAGTATAATTCGCTAAAGCTGAAGTGAAGAGCTCAGACTAATATCACTCGATCTGTACTACTATCAGACTAATAAAATGAGGTATCGATCGCTTACTCGTCAACCAAAACGTATGTTGGGTTTCTTCGAAGAAGATATAAAACCATACGTGCATTTTGCCAACCGGCAACGTTAAAAGAATACTGGGTCAAAGATCAAATACGAAAAGGGACTTTATGAAGCACAAATTCTGAAAATTCACGGTAAGTTTAATATTAGAAATATAAAAATCTAGGTCTGTAACGCTTGTGTATAAGTATAAAAATGTGGTGTGAAATCACTAACATGAATATTTTCCGACGCCCACAGTTTGTTTATGAAAAGCGAAACGCGATAATTTCCGACGATCAACGAAGAGAACTCTTTCTCAGCTGCGTCCTCGCCCACAGATGCAAAGCAGACGCATGGCGCCCGCACAGTGGACGCACCCGCAAGCAAGCGCCCGCAGACACACAGTGGACGCCCGACGCCCGCAGGACAGACGTACCCGCGGGCGCCCGTGAACGCACAGTGGACGCAAGATACCCGCGTGTCTTGGACACGGTTTTTGATAAGTTATTTCTTCGCAGTACTGTATGCCCATCAGCGATTTATGAGCTCCAGCTACTTGTCACTGAAGAACCTCGCAGACAGTTTGGAAGTGTATATCGAGACCTTCAAAGACCATGACAATCATAAAAAGATTGGTTACAAGTCATGTCGTCAAGACTTCATGCATGACTTGCTTAGTGTTCTCGATTAGTTGTGGCCCCTGGTTGTCCTTATGCTGCAGTCACAGGCAGAATGGTATCCTGGCTGGAAGCTGTGTGTACATATTCCTTTGGTGAAAAGACAAATGGAACGTTTCGTTGTTGAAGTGCCTAAAGACGACCCTTCTACCTGCGTTTGTCCTAGACTGAACATGTGAGTCGACGAAATTCGAGAAAAGCGCTATGGTTGAAGTGAACTGACATTGGTGTGGTTTGCTCTTACTGATGGCGATGATGGACTGCTGGTGAATTGGAACGCACAAGAGTTAGACGACAGCGCTGATGACTTGTTGGAGCTGGCAAGTATTATGTTTTAGTTATATGAAGTATTGATATATAGTCATAAGTCACATGCATGGAAGACAGAAATATAGAGATACAATAATGGCGACGAGAATGGTCAAATAATTTGTAATTCTCAGTAGTTTTATTTGACGAGCATAGCAACTGCTTTGCCAACTTTTCCGGAATTTAGCTGCCCAATGGGAGAAATATTTGAAGCGATTTATCAACCTTATGATGTCAATGAATGTTACCGATGCAAGTCGAAAACGTGCTTTGCTTCTACATTATGTTGGCGAGGAAGTGAACGATTTATTTGAGACGCTGCCAGATAAGGGAGACGATAAAGATTTTAAGAAGGCGTACGAAGCTCTCACCCAATATTTCACACCGAAAAAGAATGTGTCATTTGAGATCCTTAAGTTTCGAAATTTGAAGCAAGAAATACATGAAACGGTCGATGCCTTTCACACACGTTTACAGATTGCCGCAAAATACTGTGAATTTGGTGATAACAAGGACAAGGAAATCAAAGCTAGATCTCGGGACAACAAGCAAGAAACTGCGACGATATTCGTTCCGTTCACCAGCTTTGTCATTAACTGAACTGTTAGACTAAGGTATTGAAGCAGCACCATGTGAATTCCCTACTTCATACTGCAATCGTGAGAGCGACGATATTCACAAAGTCCAATCAGAACGACTAACGCAGCGAGATACCAATTCTAGAAACAGGTTTAAATGAACAGCTACAACAATAAACCCTGCCATTCGAGAAAATCTGCCATCACAACCGACGAAGTGTTGTTTTCATTGCGGAGGCCCATGGCCCCATAATGGCGGGAAATGCCCAGCTGAAGGACAGCGCGCTGTAACAACTGCTCCAAGTACAATCATTTTGCACGAGCTTGCAAATCGAGAAACCAAAACCAAAATGAACATTCTGCCAATGCTGTACACAGTACTACTCAAGATTCCCAACCACCAAGCACAAATTATGATCAGGACAGTACAGACAGTGAGGAGTATAGCTTCAACATACATGCAACCAATACAAAGGAACAGAACAAACAGTTCTATTATGCAAAAGTAAAACTAGGCAAGTCAACTATTAAATTCCAAATTGACAGTGGATCAACAGCCAATATAATCGATGAATTTACTTTTGCCAATATTCAAAAAGAGAATCCCTTAATCCAACTGACAAAGTCAGTTTGCCTTTGGTGCTGTAACACCACTTCAACTGCTTGGACAGTTTCATTGTGTATTAGAATCGAAGAAACGACTTGTCTATGCCACCATCATAGTTGTCAAGAATGCTACTGGTTGTCTACCGAGTGGAAAGACATCTATTGACTTAAACTTTCTGACAATTTGAGTAACGTAAACTTTCTGACAATTCGACAATGGCCCACCATTCCAAAGTGAAGAATTTCGTCACTACACGATTACAAATGGCATCACACATCACAAAATAATGCCATTATGGCCGCAAGCCAATGCAGAAGCGGAAACCTTTATGAAGCCATTAACAAAATGTCTCCAGACTGCTGTCATCGACAACAAAGATTGGAAAGAAGAGTTACAGTTGTTCTTGTTGAATTACCGTGCAACACCTCACTGCAACCAAAGTACCCAGCCACGGCACTCTTTGGTCAGAATATATGCACAAAACTAACCCCAACAACCAAGTCGAGTGAATATGAGAAGAGTCAACAAGCAGATAAACAAAGCCGATGCAGCAACAAAATCAAAATCTAAGAGCTATGCTGATCAACGTCGCGGTGCAAAACAACCAAACTTCAAGGTTGGAGATCAAGTTCACGTTCGACAGCAAAAGAGGAATAAATTAACGTCGAAGTTTAACCCTTGACCATACCAGATTATCAAGATTAAACCAACCATGATTACAGCACGTCGGGGAGAACACCAGGTTACAAGAAACTGTTCTAATTTCAAGTTATTTACTGGAAATTCGAGCGACAATGAAAGTGATGTGAGTATGGACGACAACGCAGTTGGTCAACCAAATATTGAAGTCGGACAAGGGAGGGGTGAACCGAGAAGAGAAATAGAAGAACCGGTAGTTGAACATCGGGATGGTCAACGCAGATATCCCCAAAGATGCAGAAACCACCCTTTACATTATCGAGATGAACAGAACATCAGATAAACAAACAAAACAATTTGATATTTTGCTCTAACTATTTAACTTAGCATACAGTAGCTTCAAAATTAATAGGATTCTCATTATTGAGTTGTTAGCTATCACTTCGTGATCGAACTTCAGTTTGAACTGAACATGGGTAGGGATATTATGTTTTAGTTACATGAAGTATTGATATATAGTCATAAGTCACGTGTATGGGAGAGAGAAATATAGAGATACAATAGCAAGGAAGGTAATCAATGAGCTGGAAGACCATTACACCAATAGCTTCTCTGATCTCAACAGAATGCTATCCAAATGATTCGACCTTGCGATACTATTTGTTGGATTGTGTGAAATACGAACCGAAGACAAAATCCTTGTGGACAACAATACGTTCTCCGAACTTGGGGCAAATGAGTTTCAACAGTGTGCAACCTATATTGCACAGATTCCGCACATACGTGACAACGATTTGGAGATGGGCAGTGAACTGTCATCAACTGTGTTTTGGCGTTTCAAGAAAGTGTTCATTTCTGTCGTCTGGGGTTGTATGTTTCCCACACACTTCTGCCAATTCTTCAAAAAGATCACAATCAAAGATGACAGAGATTTCTCTTTGAAAGACATTGTCGTCGGAGGTGTGACCATGAAAAAGTTCCTGGAGGGCACCCGACAACAATTCACACTTTCAGAGGACTTCAAAGTAGAGTTGAGCAATGGCAAGAAGATGGAAGGTTCTTTTTGACAAAGAAATTGTTATTAGATATTTGTATACTGACCCTTCCTTTTACTCAGTTGTGGGCCAGGAGTTTTGCCTTATTTTTGACATCTTAAATTACGGGAAACACCGAGTATTTTGATAAAATACAAAAATTGAAAGCATTTTGAAAAATTTATTTAGAAGTTTCGACTAAACTATAGTCACCATCAGAAAATGAATGAATGATGATATTACATATGTACAAGTATATATAGTGAAGTAGCAAGATACGATTAGTTAAATAGTAATAGATCTTTAGAGGCTTTAGTAACAGATTTAATATTTACTAACACTAAGATAATAGATAAATCCAATCACTGGTCGTTGATACTTTATCAGGAGTCTATTGCTATTAATAGAATGAAACCGTGCCTAAACAATGGAACTAAAGCCTCCAAAGATCTATTGATATTTAACTAATCGTATCTTGTTACTTCACTCTATATACTTGTACATATGTAATATCATCATTCATTTCCTGATAATGACTATAGTTTAGTTGACACGTCGAAATAAATTTTTCAAAATGCTTTCAATTTTCGGAGTATCTATTGTTTTGTATTTTGACATCTTCTATGCAAAGAGTGGAACAGAGGCGGTTGCAGAGTCTTACTACAGGGTAGTGGACAAGCAGAAGGTGGACAGAGCACCCAGGTGCTTATGAATCGTTCAAAAGTAGATTACTGTCTTCCATCACAGTTATTTTAATAGATGGTTTGGAGACTCGATGAAAGTACAATATAACTCATTAACTATGTTATTGTCCAGCTTTATGCAAGAATTTGGTCCTATCTCGTCACGTGTGTATTGTATTTTCGCTCAAATAACGAATAACAAGTTTGTGGTTGAGTTATCCATCCGTAACTTGAACAAATGCTCAATTTAAACATTGCTATTGGTTGTGCGTAAAAAAATACAATACACATGTGACGAGATAGGCCCAAATTCTTGAATAAACCGAAACCAACATAGTTAATGAGTTATATTGTACTTTCATCTAGTCTCCAAACCATATATTCTATTAACTGTGCTTCCATCCGTCATTCAATGCGACTCGGCACTTGAAAAGGATCTTGGTTTTAGTAGACATGAAAACAGTCTACAGAGATCGACAATCATGGGAGAAACATGAAGGAGAACTGTCAAAGGTTTTGGATCGTATTGCAACTTTCGGAAAATGTTGATCTCGGTTGCACAATTTGCAAACTTTCCAGTCTGGTAAAGATAAGAGGTTTTTGAATTTGAACTTTAGCACCATTTCCCCAAGCAACTACACCATGTTAAATATGTTGAAATTGTGGATACCCTATCTATACCTACACAATAGGTGAAGCTTTTAAATAAATAAATGTAGTATTTCTACCCATCACCCCCTTCCTCCATTCATCCTCCTCCTGCAATAGTTACCCCCAGTTTACTTGTTTATTATATCCTTATTTGAAAAGCTATGTTAGTGAAAATTTCCTGGACATACATGCATGTAATTATCTTCTGATCCAATGAATGACAACAAATGGCATCATCTGCTAACTAAAGGGATGATAAACACATGCTTGACAGGGAAGTTGAGGGAACGGATCTAGTGTAATGTTGATGTTACTCTGAGTGTATATCCACACCAGGCAGGTTGAAGAGTTAGCCTGACTATGGTCACGGTGACCACCATGGTCATGCTAACTTTTCAGCCTGCCCGGTGTGGAATATACACTCAGAGTACATCAAAAACATTATATTCACCTGAGTACATAACATCAAAACACACACAAAAATATCAGGATCTAGTGTATTTATTATAAGTAAACACATGCTTTGAGGGAAATTAGTGATTAAATGTCCCCCTGCAAACAGAGGGAGGTTTAGTAAAAGTCCCGAGGGTGTAGCTGAACCTCCCAAAGTTTGCAGGGACATTTAATCACTAATTTCCCTCAAAGCATGCGTTTAGTTTGTAAATACATGGTAGCCAAGGGAATCATGTGTGGTATGTTGCCTGTTTTGAATGCTGTTTGATTGTCTTATGATTGTGGTATGAACACGTTTCATATATACACACACACACAGAAACGCATCTCTGTGTTCATTCTTTTTAGGCATGCACATAAATGGAATTTTCTCCCACAATTGAAATGTTCAAGATTAGGGAATAAAAGCTGGCAAAGTCATCGTTCAAATGTGTACGGGACGGTGTCGTCAGATACTGTCCATAGTTGTGCTGATGATTTTTGATGAGGTACAGCTCTCCAATGGGAGGTAATGAGGTACGCTTTTGTTTTCTAAATTTCCCTCATCAAGCATGTACGGGAAATTAGAAGACAAAGAAATCCTTTGTTTTCAACTAAATTTCCCTGTTTCCCGTAATGAGAGAAATATGTGATTAAACGTTCCTGTTGAAACAGAAAAAAATGAGGCTACCATGTGTTTACTTCAGTTAGACTGTGATATCCAATCAGTGAAGCATGGAATTTTTTGCACTGTGTCAAGCGTTACTATAGGATATACAAAGAACACTATGCACATTTTTGAAATGTTAATCCCCGAGCCAACAGTGCGCCGTTCCTGGCGTAAGCCCGGGGCGAGGGTACTAATTCCCCCGGCTATTTACACCAGTGGAAAGGAACGCACTAGAAGTCTAAAGTTCACCAATTATCGCGGGTGCAGTGTATGGGTGGTCAGCTCACTGATCTCAAAGTATGGCTGTTTGCCAGGAGTGGAGAATATAAAAAATTTTCAATTTTTAAACAAACATTTATAAGAATTGATTTAGTATGAGAAATCCTAAAGTATAGCCTATAGGGCAAGTGTGTTTCAATTGTTTATGCATGACTTTGTATTAATATTATAGACTTTGTTCTTGTTGTTCAAGTCTTTCCTATGGATTGTATGCAAAAGTTTCATAGTTAAATTAACTTTTATAGAAGTTCATGATAAAAAGGAAAGGCAAATTATTTTCATTAGCGTTCTGTACCATTTATTTCAATAAAAAATTTAAATTTATTTCATTTGAAAGTGAGTAATAAGTTGAGCTCAAGTTATAGCGATCATCAAAAAGCAGTTAATTTCAATTCACATTTAAAAACGTTTTATGTAGAGTTTCGTTTTCAATTTTACATTAAAATAAAGCACATAGAAAGCAAAAGCATATACCTACTTTATATATTTTAGAAGTTGATAGTTCTGTACTTAAAAGTGTTCAAGTTTCATCTGTTGTTTGCAGGTTTGAGGTTTGTACAAAATTTTTTTTTTAAATTATTGTGTTTCCATGACAAACATGATGTGAGCAATGCGAGCCTGCATTCACTGTTGGCATAATTACGAATACTTCATGTTGAAACAATGTTTGGAGAATATAGGTGAGGGTTGTTGCATGCATTTGTTTATTGTAGTTACAGATGACCTCTTTTTTTTGCAGGTAATATTACAGAGTTTCAGGTAAGTTCGCATATTAAATCAAATTGTATCATTTATTGTTTTTAGGGATCTTGGAATGAGTCCATTCGAAATTGCTTCAAGTATAAAAATAAAAAGTGCCAGCAGATTCCTGCAAGTCAAACACTAACATTCCTGTAATTCCAACACTAAAAAAACAGTGTCCAAGCAGCTGAAAACCAAGATGCTAAGAAAGTTGGACTTCTGGAATGTTGTGCCATTTGCAGAACAGCCGAGGCTATCCACCAAGAGCACTTGGTTGAATGAGACAAAGAGAAAATAAAAGCCCTGATGGAAGCTACATACCAAATACGGAGGAAGGACATTTTGACCACAACCATTCCAGTCGAGGATATTATCGAAAGATATCCAGCCCTGGCAACAATAAATGGGGTAATATGATATGTAGCAACCTTCAACAATACTATGCTTTGTATCAGCTTTCCATTAATAATTCTGACACGATTAAGCTATATGAATGCCCCTTTAACCACATTGCTCGCACAGGCAACACAATGAAATTTGACCCATTGCATTGCCAGCGTGAGAGCAAAATTGCATGTGTCATTAATTCTGATTTTTTGTATAGATTTGTCACGAATTCTACAGAGTAATATCAAATGGTGATGCTATTAAGACATCAAGTGCAAATTTGCCCAATACAACAGCGCCATCATACATACAACACAACAAGCTGCAGCAATGGAAGATCCCATTCATCAAGAATTTGTTGAGGGAATTCAGACACTGGACATCTGAAGAACATGATGAAAAGCCATAGTGGAAAGTTGGCCACTTCAGTGGAAGATCTTCCGCGGGAGACCACTTTGTAATTGCTGCAATGCAGTAGGATAATGCGGTAGACAACTTGACAAAACCAGCAATGTGATAGGATATTGCGGTAGAAATATAAAACTTGTGATCGACTAATTAATGACTGTGTGACTTTCCGACTTTGTGTTCAGTGTTCACTCTACTATTGAGTACTGATTTAAGTGATTTGGATTTTTATATAAAATCATTAAGTATTCATGCTCATGGCTAATGGTTCTCTGTCGTTCAGATGAAAGACGGCTGGACGGTAGGCTGGCTAAGACCCTGCCAGCCTACCATCCAGCCGTCTTTTGGACGGCCATTTTCAAATTTGGACGGCCTTCTAAAAAAGACTGCTTTTGGACGGTAAACATTGCTCGCTTGCAAGCTACCAAATCTGTCAAACCAAAGATTCCTAGGCCTAGCTGCCGAAAACCATAGAATATAACTATACTAGAAGTTACTATCGCAAGGGAAGTGCTGCCTCACCACCAAAGTCCTGGGGATTGATTATAGCAATAATACACTGTATGTATGAATTTATTTTGTTTAAGAAATATCGAAATTACAACATGCAATAATTACTATATATACTATGAAGTGTAGTTCGGATTTTCATATTTAAATGTATGCCTGTGATTGTTGGTACCAATGTTTTAAACCATCTTCACTTGTCAAAACGTCTAGAAGAACACAATTAGGAACATACATGATATGTCTTTTAACGTGATATGACCAGTTTGTTGCAAGTTTTCATATTCTTTCCAAGGTAATGATAATCCATACTGTATTTTCCATTTGGTAAACAAGTCTTATACTATTCGTTTTTTGTCCAATATATAAATATTTCGTATTTAATTAGCATGTACAGGTAGTATCCATTGTTGGCCGTCATTATTGTCCAATAACTTGTTAGGTTTCTGTACATATAAAGGTATGTAATATCTTGACATACAACGTTCCTGACATCCATATGGTAGATTGGAAACAGGTACAGCAAAAATAGTACATGGCAGATTCCATCCCATTGCATTAGATGTAATTTCAATTCGTGATATGCCGGACGACGTAACCTTGGGTAAGTAACTTAATTAAAATGTAGAAATACATTTGTGTTAATCCAGAAGTTCCCATCCATTTTCATGCGATGTAATATATCCATATTATATTTTGAATTTAACGACCATTTGGTCTCATCCAGCAGTTAACATTACATGGCACCATTCACATCCATCAGAATTGCAAAACTATATAGAAAAAATAATTGCCAGCATGAGATATTTACTTAGAAACATGGTAGCACATATAAATGAATGAAAATAAAAGTAGGGCAGGGGTTTAACAAACAAAACACTTACCATTATTTCAACTTGCAAATCATAATATTTTCATACATACAGTGATAACAATGAGTAAATTATTTGGTTATATGATAAATTAAATTATTTAAAAGGGTATATAGTCAAACTACATACTAAAATATAACTGGGATCCATATATGAAATCCCTCCCTTATTCAACCTCAATAGTCTGTTGTTGTAAATACACTGCTGGTAGCCTGTGCTAACTGATCTAGCCTGTTTTCTTCTTCAAGCCTATATTGTAAGTTAGCTGATGATTTCAAGCTTGTTAATCGTTCATACGTCATTGGTTCAATGACACAAGATGCAAGTGATTTTACTCTGCTAATAGCAACATAGGAAACTCCAGCAGTTCTTTCAGATTTTCCAATATCTATCCATGCTTTTGGAAGCGTAAGTCCTTGGTTCTTGTGTATTGTTATAGCCCAAGCAAGCCTAAGAGGCAACTGTTGTCTCTCATGGAAACCTATTGCTGTCTGTGATGTGACAGTGATTGGATATATTGGGATACACAATGGTTGGATTTCATTAAAAAACAGGTCCTCTGTAGTTTTCAAATTCTACTATTACCGCAACAGGTAAGTCAAGTGGTTGATGGTTGTTCTGATAGATAATATCAACAACTGTCCCAGTAGCACCATTGCAGAGACCAACACTTGACCACAAATTCATGGTTAACATGACCCTAGCACCTTTTGCTAAAAACACAACAGGTTCTAACCCAGACATATCATCTGAGGATATCTTTTTTGCCAATGCTGATGAATGGCAAGCATTAATATGAGCAACTGGATGCTCAAGTTTTGTTAGCTGCTCATGGTTGTAATTAGCAACTTGTTCATTACTATAAAAGAGTACTATAGTAGAATCTTCAAAGTCACATAAATTAGTGACATTTGATCCCTTACGAAAATTTCCTATAGGAATTCCTATAGGAAAAATTCCTATAGGAATTTGGGACAAAATTCCTATAGGAATTTT